GGTGGTGGAGGGGGAGGAGGTGGCGGGGGAGGCGGAGGGGGTGGTGACGGTGGCAGTGACAGTTCTTCACTTGACGTGGAATGTGTTTGGTCACCAACTGGAACAAAAGTCGGGACAGGGCTATCTCCAGCACAGTCTTCACGCTCAGGGGTTTTCACAGTACTGACTTCAGACAAGGGAGCGCTTCTGGTTTTCCTAGGGGATGGATGGAGCACGGCTGTCATCTGAGAAGTCGGCAGGGGTGTCTGCTTGGGTAGTCCGTTCCACAGGCCTGAAGTCACAGGTTGCGAGCAAGAGCGCTTTAGGACAGGCTGGCCTGGACATCTCTCTTTAAATGCTCTTAATCGTTGGAGGGTTTTTTGGCGTTCTTGGTTTATCCACTCTCTTTTCTTTTGCTCCTCCTCTTTTTTCTTGTCTCTTTTCCTCTGAACACTGTGGTGCTGATGAAAATATTTTATTCTTTCTTCAGCCTGTTGCAATCTGAGTCGATGATTTTCTTTGCATTGATCCTTTCTGTTCCTGAGACGGGCTCTCCTGGCACAGATGCTGCCCTGCTTTGACTCCAGCTGCTGGCACTGCCGGCTGAGCACCCCCACCTCCAGTTGCTTCTCTTCCTGTAGCCCCATTACACCATCCATGACCGTAAGTTCCTCTGGACTTTCACATGGGTCGTAGTAGATCACTTCATCCTGTTTATCATGTTCTTGGATGGGAAGATTCAAAATTGAAAAGACGATAATTTTTTCCAAATTAATTTGTAATGTTAACTGCAATCCCAATAAAAATTCCGAGTTTTTTGGGTTTTTTGTTTTGAGCTTGTCAAAATGATTCTAAAGTTCATCTTTTATAAGTCTTTTAATGGAGTCCAACTGTGTAACAAGAAGTATTTCTTCATATTTTAATATCTCAAATTTAACCTCATATAATTCTAATTGAACTTCATAATATTGTAATTTTAAGTCATCTACAATGTTTATTTTTTTTTCTTGTTCTGGAAGATCTTCCATCCTGTCCCGAATTTCAGTTCTTCTGTGATTTAAACACAGCTCTTTGGCTCTCATGAGTTGTAGAGTCTCCCGGGCTAACATCAGCTTGAGTTTTTCCAACCTGGGAGTTGCTGTGGCCCAGGCAGCCTGGCCGAATCTCTTCTCATCCTGAGCCATCTGTTTCTTCATTCCTGTCGGATTGTAATTAATAAAATAAAACTTAAGTACAACTCATAATAAAAAAGAAACTTTTTAAAAAAGGAAAAATTCATTCTGAATGAATTCTGTTTATTGCCTTCCGTGTTACCTGCAAAACATCCCTTTTAAAAGAAAACTTGTATTTTAGTGACTTTTTATTGTCACAAAAATAATACATGGTTAATTAGTNGCAGCCGTCGGCCGCCTGGCCGAGGTAGCGTTCCAGCTGCCCGCACAGCTCCTGCAGCGCCGCCTCGCTCGGGCCCGCGGGCGCCGGCCACACCAGCGTCCACAGCCCGAACCCCAGGCCCCAGGCCCCGCCGCCGCCCGCATCTAGCTCCGGCGGCAACAGCGGGAAGCAGCGCTCGAGCGGCGGCCACAGCGCTGCCAGCTGCCGGTGCGCGCCGCGGAGCCCGGCGGCCGAGAGTAGGCCCGCCCAACTGGGCGGGGGCCCGGCGGCCTCGGGCGCGAGTTCGGGCCCCTGCTGGCTCCCCTTGCGCCCCCGCCGTCGCTGCGCCGTGCGGTCGTGACAAGTCACGGCGAACTTGCCCTCCACATCATTCCAGGCCACCAGGAAGCGCAGCTGGTGCCGCTCGGGCTCGGCGAAGAGGTCCTCACGGACCGGCACCCAGCCCTCCAAGCTGTCCGGCCCCTGCTGGCTCCCCTTGCGCCGCCGCCGCCGTTGCGCCGTGCGGTCGTGACAAGTCACGGCGAACTTGCCCTCCACATCATTCCAGGCCACCAGGAAGCGCAGCTGGTGCCACTCTGGCTCGGCGAAGAGGTCCTCACGGACCGGCACCCAGCCCTCCAAGCTGTCTGGCTGCTCGTCCTCCATGGCCGCCGGCGGTCAGCGCCTGGAGGACTCGGTTCCCCGGAGCCTGGTCTCGCACCAGCAGCCGCTGAACAGTCCGGACCGCGTCATTTTTCGCTTAACTCAATAACAAAATTTTTTTAAAAAAATCATAGAATTGTGTAATCATTGAAACTTGAAAGTTCAACTGCCTAGGATCCATTTACACAGGTGACACTACAGACAAGGCAAGCCCTGGATCTGGGTGGAGGGTTCAGAGGAAGGGGCCAGGTTTGTATACCAGATTTAGCTGGTAGCCTTGTGGGAAAGCCAGAAAATTATGGTCATGAGAATGAGAAAGGTTGATTTAGCTTCTTTTATTCTTTTCCTTTGTATTTTCCTGTTTTTGAGGGATGTTGCAGAGAGAGGTAGAAGCAGAAAGACAATCAATTAAGTAGGAAAAAAGGATAAAAAGGAAAAAAGGTAGATATGGTAATGATTAACAGGTAGATGAAACATGGTCCAGGGTCTTTTTTGGATACAAATTCTTGCTAGGTTTTCTGAGAATGTTAAGTGATTAAATGAGTGATCTATGTTTGAATGCAGCTCTGCTCGTGATCAGTCACTTCAGTCGCTTCTGACTCTTTGCGACACCATGTGCTGTAGTTCCCCAGGCTCCTCAGTCCGTGAGAGTCTCCAGGCAAGAATACTGGAGCGGGTTGACATTTCCTTCTCCAGCAGTTCCGCTACTCAGCTGTATGATTACTTTGAACCTAATTTGACCTCCTGGGCAATTCATTTCTCTCACCAGTAAAATGGGAAGATAACATTTCTCTCCAAATTTGGTTGTTAAGATTGAAAATGACAATGCTTAAGAACTTCTTGATGGAGTCTAAGGAAAATTATAAACACAGAGTATTATAGATGATTATTGTATTTCTATCACTTTCAACTCTAACCAACTCTATATTCTGGCTTCTGATTATTCCTTAAGAAGAGAACGGGGACTTGGCAAGGAGCAAAGAAACGCCAGAGCTGAAGGTCAGGAGGAATTAGTTATATTCTTGGCACTCACACTCTGCCTCTTGCAGAGAGCCCTTGGAACCCATCCTGGAGAAGATCTAAGGGGTCATGGGGACCTGGTGTGGGGGCAGCTAAGCCCTGCTCAGCTGGGAGGAGAGAAATTATTATTGAAGGTAAACTTAGTCCACTTGCCTACAGGCAGCAAAGCCAATCCACTGACACTTACTGACACTGGCTGCTGGCAAAGGTGCCGCATTTATTGTTGGAGGAAGGTGCCAGGCAGGAGTCTGGGGCAGCTAGTGCTCAAAACCCAGAACTCCACAATGGGTTTCAGCAAAGCATTTGTAAAGGCAA